TATGTAACCCTGGTCATGGGCAGACAGCCAGACTCCAAATGAAAAAGAGACTCTGGCTTGGCACTGGTTCTATTTTCCTATCCTCATTCGGGGTCAGCGCAGTGTCATACAGCTGCAGAGAAAGCTCTGGGGATTAAACCTGGGAAAGCCTCCAAGACCAGGACCTGGGTTCAAGTACCAGCTGAAAGCAATAAACCAACTGCCACAGCTGGGCTAGGTTTGGATGTTCTCAAAGTCCCCTGACTCTTTCACTTACTGAGAACTAGAGATCAAGATGAGGGAAGATTTGGCTTCAGCAGAGACTCTGAAATGAGGTAGGCTGTCCCACTGCCCTAGCCTTGCCAGAGGTCCTGGGATGCAAGAGGTCACTATGCTCAGGCTTGTGGAAGCCTGTTGCTCTGTTCCTCTCTATCACCTGACATTCACAACTTCACTCATGCTCCCTTGTTAAGGTTGAGAGTAGCTGCCTTTCCCTTCTAGTAAGAGGCTTGGAACAGAAATGTGCCCCCCTCACCACCACCCCATAAGTAGATGGCCCCTCCAAACACTGTGGTCTGTTCTAAATAGACCAAAGCAGTTGACACTTTCTTACAGTGGCCCAAGGCAACTTTCCACACCCTGCTATAATCCTCTGTACCAAAACCTCCTGAGATATAAAGCCATCTTATTACAACAGGTACAAATGGGAAGTCAACCTACTTACATGCTGACCCAGCACACAAATGCTTGAGTGCCACTGTGTGGGAAGGCACAAATGGCCTTGAAATCCTGCCCTTATCACCCTAAGTGTTCCACATATGCCTAAGTGGCTACTGACAGAAAAGTAGATATGACCAGAAAGAAGAGGAATATGGACAAAAGGAGAGAACTAAGGAGACTAATAAGCTTTGGAATATCCCTAGAAATGTGGAGGACACTTCAAAATGATTCTCTAATTGTATAAGGAAAGACAGGGAACAAGATTAAATAAGGGTTCAAGTGTGTAAGAGAGACAATTTGGGTGTGGGGGATTCTGGAGGAGAAGTAAACTAAAATGTAGGCTATCTGGTCACCTTATCAATGAGGAATTTGTCTTCGTAGAGAACAATTCAGGCAAAGACCAATAAAAGCATGCAAAGCAGAGGTGTTAAGTGGAAACCCTTTCCTTCCTACTCTCTTGAGAGCATTCCTAAACCCTCCAAAATGAAGATCACACAAGGACCTTAAGAATGTCAGAGGAGTTACTATTCTGACATCTACACAACTATCTGGAGTATATCATTCCTTATGGCCTTAAAGAAAAGGCTCTACAAAATGAAAGATCAGTAGGCATAAGACACAACTTTGAAACCCAGAGAGCTATCATACCTTGCCAATCTCTCAACCATATTTACTCAGTAAGTGTTAGGCAGCCATATGAGAAACTGGAAAGGAAGAAGATAAATTTATATACCACTTCTTCAGTGCTTGGATCTGAAGGCTATGAGGTAGGGCTACTCTCAGTGGTGGTCAGGCCAGGTCTGCTCTGTCCAGCAGTGGCACCAACCCTCAAACCACCATACCTTGTGGTCAGGCACCAGGACAACAATGTCCCTCCTTTATGCTTAAACTTAATTCCAGAGACAACCAGCTGCTGACCCTCCAGAGAGTGCAGAAGAGAACTCTATTCTCTACCATACTGACTTCTCTAGCCTCGAGGATTCATCAGAGAGTAAGTGATGCCCACAACTACAGGAACTTGTTTACTGGGCAATCAGATTCAATATATTATTTGGTCAGATCTGCTCCCCCTGTGAAAAAATCTTAAAAAAAGCTAAGCAAATCTGTCAAGTATCCCAACCCTCTCTGCCTCTCTGTGGCCCAGGAGGTGAAGCCCAGCTGGGGATGGCTGTAGCTCAGGACTACGTGCCCAGCTGCTGATTGAGCCCTTGCCCAAAGATGGGCAGCAGCTTGCATAAGCCGGCAACGGGCCATTTGCTGCAGCATCCAAAGAAAAAACAGACTCAGTACCTCAAGCAAATGAGGCCCAGCACTTCCTGTGTGAGCTTTCCATTTCCTCAGCCAAACAAAAGAGGAGGGATGAAAGGAGACAGCCGCAGAAGAGAGTTAACAGGCCCGATGGCCCAGGATATGGGTAAATAGGGGTGGGATGGACCATATCTAAGGGACTTGTGGGTGTGAGGTGAGGTGACCCAGGAAAGACCCAGGCTCCAAAAACAAAGAGTCTGCCTCCCCACCCTCCACCCCACGAAAGGAAGGGAGGAACATTCTATGACCCTGCGCATGCTCAGAAGCAGTGTCTTCAGATACCTGGGAGAGCTGAGCCTTTGTCATTTTCTTTCTAAAATTGCAAATTACCTAGTCGGCATTATAGATTAATAGCCTGAGAAGTTTGAGGCTGTACATGTTAACTCTTTGGGGAACATGGCTGGGAAACAGCTGACCCCTAGCTAGCAGATCCGTCAGTTCCTTTGTGTGGCCCCAGCTGCCCAGCTCAGGGCTTAACCCTGGCTCCTGAGGCCCCAGCCTAGAGTGCATTTTGAAAACCTAGGAGGGTTTACAGAAAGGATGTAGAGGACTGTCTGATGCTGTGAGTCTCACTCACTCAGTTACAGAGTTAGAGTTGGGGGAGACAGGGGAGAGGTAGGGAAAGAGGGCCAAACAGTCCAGGGTGCATCTTGGGGTGAAGAACAAGAAAGGAATTTGAGAAAGGTGAGGGGGGGCGGGGCGGGGTTTAGACTACACAGTGCACATAGAAAGATCAATAACTGCTGGCTAGAAATCTCTGCTGCAGCATTCCCTCTGTGGGTCACCTACGAGTAGAGACTCACATGGATGGCCCCAGACCAGAGAAGCACCCCACTCCCTAGAAATGCTTTCTGTAGGAGCCTAGGTCTTCACACTGTATCCTCCAGTATTTTCCCCCTCAGAGGAGCATGGAGAATGATGAGATGTTGGGTATGGATGCTTGTTACCAAACACACACATACACACCCAACAGAGAGCCAGAGGAGCTCTGAGTGCACTACTCCTGCCAGAGGCCACAATACAAAGAGTGGAAAGGAGAGGGAAGGAACAAAGAATTAGATAGAGAGGCAAAGACAGAGACCGAGAAACTGAGGGGGGGGGGGGGGAGGAGAGGGGGAGGGAGGAGGAAGAGGAGGAGGAGGAGGAGGAGGAGGAGGAGGAGGAGGAGGAGGAGGAGGAAAAGAGAAAGGAAGGAGGAAGAGAGGTGGACAATCAACAGTTGACCAGAGATAGGCACCTGCATGCAGATACATTAAGACAATATTGTGCAAACACGAATATACACACACTGTGACACTAATACAGAGAAGAATGGGACACATGGAAATATGGATATAGATCAGGAGTCAGCAAACTTTTTCTGTAACAAGCTAGACAGTAAATATTTTAGGCTTTGCAGACCATAAGGTCTCTGCTGGTGCAGCATGAAAGCAGCCATAGACAAAGTGCAAACAAATAAGTCTGGCTGTGTTCCAATACGACTTTATGGACACTGAAATGTGACTTTCATATCATTTTCACGACTCATGAAATTTTTTTTTTTAATATTTTTCAACCATGAAAAAAATGTAAATAATTCTTAGCTCATGGGACGTAGTTTGCTAACCCCTGATATAGACACAAAAACAGCAGAGGCAGACAAAGAGACAGAGGCAAGCAGGCAGGGACAAGCCATGACAGACAGAAACAGGCAGGAGGGAGAGACAGAGGCAAGCAGGCAAGCAGACAGAGGCAGGCGAAGAGACACAGGTGAAGCAGGTAGAGGCAGGTAGATACAGGCAAACCCACATATACAGAACTCCTCCCTCCAACAGAGAGACACAGTCATAAATAAACACGAACACAGTATAGGTAGTCTTGTATACAGACATTTAGGCATGCACAGGACACAGTCACACAAAGAAACATGGACAGGATCAAAGCAGACATGGATTGACATGGACCCAAAATCAGACAGACATGGATATGGACACAGACACACACTGAAACAGACCCCTGGGGACACATGCACCCAAGGATAGACTGAGATACAGATACAGGTATGAACACAGCACATGGACACATACACAGAGAGGCATGGACAGGTACACTGAAAGACCCTTAGAATAGATCTCCAGAGACAGAAACACACAGACCCTCACACTTAAATATAGATAGACATTCAGACACATAGAGACAACCAGACCCAGACAGGCACACAGAGAGATACAACACACACGGAGATACAGACAAAAGAAATAGCCATTTGTACACTTAAAAATGATTAAGATGGCAAATTTGTTACATATATTTTTATTAAGTTTATCGTTATATATACATTTTTTACCACAATTTTTTTTTTAAAAAGGAAGAAAAGTCATATAAACACACACAAAAAATCTACATAGATATACCCAGGCATAAACATCTACTCCACACTGAAACACAGACAGGGAGTTGGGGGTGGGGTATGCTGATGAGAAAGGGAAAGAAGCAAGTGAAATAAAGAGGTACATGCACTCATCCCTCCCCATACACTACAATGTCGTGAGAGCAAGCAAGCAGACAGAGTGCACCAGAGCACAAAAAGCAGTGAGAGATAGCCTGAAAGATGTATAGAGATAAAGTAAAAGGGAGAGAGGGAGACAAAGTCTCTCACGCACACACTGACACTCAAGAGGTGGCTGCAGAAACAGTGAGCATGAACAATATGAAGTGAATGAGTGAGCAAGAGTAGGGAAAAAGAACAAAACAGAGCAACCTATGGAGTGAGAGAAAGAGAGAGACTGAGGAGGAGGAAGAGGAATACACCAGAGCATAGGCAAAAATAACCTAAAACATCAGGAGACAAGGAAGATGTTCAAGGAAGGGAAAAACCGAAGTTGAAATGAGGAGGGAAGAGAGAACAAGGGGCTGTGGGGGAGAGGAAACAAAGAAGAGAACTGGGAGGGGAGCTGTGGGAACACAGGTGGGCCAAGGCCAGCAGTGCTGAAGGAATGAGCAGGCTGACTCACTGTGAGGGCAGATCCAGGGATGTGGGTGGAGGATTCCAGGTGTCTGGGTAGCCGAGCATCCAGTCTGACCAGACTTTCACACTGGGTAGCAGTTCCTTCAGGTCCGGAACGAAGGAAGAAACCTTGATGTCATCTTGGTCATCCTCATCCTCAGGAGAGGATGGCTGAGCTGCAGAGGCAAAGGGGAGAACTGGGCCTATGTCTGCTGTGGCCCCCGAGTGACGCCTGGGGTGCTGGGGCTGCAGCAAGCTCTTAGGGAAGGGAGACCAAGTCCACAGGACATCTGGGCCCAGGAGCGAAGGACAAGTATCAGCACCTAAGAGGATTCTGAAAGGGAGGACAAAGAGAGAACTAGTGCACTGGGTTTGCCCCTGCAGACAGCTGTTTCTATTCCACCTGTGGCCTGGTTGAAGTTGCTATTCTGGCCGCTCACCCCCCGTTTCAGCTTTCCTTCAACACAGTACTGAGATGGTACCAGAGTTCCTGCCAAAACTGCATAACGTGAATTTAATCATGAGGAAATATCAGAGAAACCCAAATTGTGGGACATTCTAAAAAATAAATGGCCTGTACACTTTAAAATGTCAAGGTCATAAAGCACATAGAAAAATTGAGAAACCATTCCAGATTGAAGGAGACTAAAGAGATATGACATCTAAATGCAAAGTGTGATGCTGAAGTGGATCCTAGGCCAGAAAAACACACACACACACACACACACACACACACACACACACACACACATTTTTAGAACAATTGGTACAAACTGAATAAGGTCTGTAGATTCAATAATAGTACTATATCACTGTTGGTTTCCTGATTTTGATAACTGTACTGTCATGTAAGAGAATGTCCTTGTTATTAGGAAGTACACAATCAAGTATTTGGGGGTAAAGGGCTACCATGTCTGCAACTTAGAATCAAAAGGTTCAGAAGAAAAATAAGCCTAAGTACATGCGTGTGTATGGGAAGAGAGAGAACTTATAGCAAATATGGTCGAATGCTAACAACTGGAGAATCTGGGTGAAGGGTAAGAGTTCTTTGTGTAATTCTTGCAACTTTTCTATAAATTTGTAATTGTTTCCAAATTAAAAGTTACCTCCACCATCCCTCAAACAAAAAAAATAATAAAATAAAAGGCAGCCTCAGAGGCTGGACGCAGTCACAAAGCTAATGGGGCAGGAGGATGACAGAGGGGCCAAACTATTCACAAGTACTGATCCAGGAGCTGAGAGAAGGTACAACCTTCAGCCCTGCCTTACACCTCAGCAATCAGGCTTGAATTCTAAGGGCAGCCTTAAAGGATACAGGACACTGCACAACCCAAGGGATAAAAATAGTCCCTGCTGCCTGTCCAGTGTGGCTCAGTGGTGGAGCATCGACCCATGAACCAAGAGGTCCGGGTCAGGGCACTGCAGACTTGGTCCCCAGTAGAGGGCATGCAGGAGGCAGCTGATTTATGTTTATCTATCATTGATGTTTCTATCTCTCTATCCCTTCCTCTCTCTCTCAAATCAATAAAAACATATTTAAAAAAAAAAAAAGTCCCTGAAGCCCTAGCTGGTTTGGCTCAATGGCTAGAGCATCAGCCTGTGGACTGAAGGGTCCCGCACATGCCTAGGTTGCAGGCTGGATCCCCAGTACGGGGCATGCAGGAGATAGACAATCAATGGTTCTCTCTCATCATTGATGTTTCTATCTCTCTCTCCCTCTCCCATCCTCTCTGAAATCAATAAAATATATTAAATAAAAAAAAGTCCCTGCTCTGGTCCAGTGGGTCTCCCAATATGGCTGGTCCACAACCTTTATAGTACCCACCAGACAAAGAAAGACATATAAAGGGGGGAAACCAAACATCAATTATGAACAAAAAGGGAAATTCACTTTTCTGTGTGTTTTTAAAGTGACAGGAACTCGCAGCAGCTTAGAGGTACAGTATAAATCCTAACTACTGAAGGAGAAAAAAAGGAGGGAATAGTTTTACAAGGAGAAAAGAGGGCCATAAAGGTAATCAGATTGGACAAGGAGGTGGGACTAGTTAGGTGGGCAAAAGGTAGATGGGGTGTTGGAAAGTAAAAGAATGGACAGAGGGTGAAAACACTGAGAAAGCAGCGTGGCATCTGAGTTTGTTGGGACAGGACCCAGGCAGCTGGAAAGCCAACCAGTCAGGGGGCCCAGCCCCTCATCTGCTTACCTTTGGCAGACTCCTTAAGTAAGTGGGTGCAGCGCCGCACCAAGAGAGAAAACATGGCCAAACCCAGGGCTGCGGCTTGCTCCTGGATCACAGAGCGACACTCCTCCGAGAAGCAATCTGAGGAGAGGCAAATGAAACTCCCATCAGTATATGCTGGGGGTCAAGGGCTACTCTCTCCTACCTCACTAGTGTACATCCCCATCACATCACTGAGCTACTTTTCCTCACCCAAGACCACGGGTGGTAACAGTGCCTCTGTCAAAGGGTAGTTGTAAGGCTAATTCAAATAGTGCACCTAGCCCAGTGGGCATGGCTCAGTGGTTGAGCATCTATCTATGAACCAGGAGGTCAGGGTTCGATTCCTGGTCAGGGCACATGGCAGGGTTTCTGGCTCCATTCCCAGTAGGGGGCATGCAGGAGGCAGCCAATCAATGATTCTCTCTCATCACTGATGTTTCTCTCTCTCCCTCTCCCTTCCTTTCTGAAATCAATAAAAATATTTTAAATAAATAAAATAGTGTACCTGGAGCACTTACCACAGTGCCTGGTGTATTGGTAAGTACTCTAAAGGTTGTATTATAGGGATCAACTATGTAAATTCTGCATCATATTACTTCCTCAGCACCAGTTACTCCAAGGTGGGCAGTTCCAGTTGGAGCTGCAGGCTCTCTACCTTTAGTCAGTTGGCTACTGATAATGTGAGGCCATAGTAACAAGAACTCATATTTAATTAACTCAGTCTCTCTAATGTATGCATAACAGGAGTACAATCACCAATTAAGATAATAAAAATACAAATTCAAAAGTTATCTTCCTGAATCACTAACCTTTGGTTCTATCCTTACCTCCTCTACGTTCCTCCTTCTAAGAGAATACAGGACACTTACAAATAATCTATTTTCATTGAATGAATTGCTTTTATATAGGACAGTGTATGGCACACAATAAGCATTTAATCTGCGTTAAGAGTTTATTTTCACAAATTCTTTTTCCCTATGGCTAAAAGGTAAATCTGGCTCCCAACACTAACACCCTTTCCCCCTCACTTTCTCAGCCTGGCTAACTTCCTTCTGGCTACAGCTCAGTGAAAGGAGCCACCTTGGTGGTGGCTGGAGCTACTATTTGGCAGAAGCTACATATACACCCCAAACTGCTGCCTGCACATATTCCTTGAGAGTGGTTCTTCCTGATAGCCACTTCATCCAGACTTGAGAGGAATCGGTGACAAACAGGAGGCAGCAATCCAATCTGCAGCCTCAGAGGAAGAGACACCAATACACAGATGAAATCAGGGGCCAGACTCACTCACTCTGGCAACAGTTAATCTGTTAATTCCCTCTGTAATACAGGGGAGAGCTCAGAATCTCCAAGTGTTAAAAGGATAATTAGCCACATGTTTGATCTCTGTCCCTGCTTGCATTTTAACCTTGATAACCGAGGGAGAGCCCCCCCTCCCACTCTCCTCACTGACACCAGTCTTGTCGAATGAGGCCTAACTGAAGTCTTTACTGCAGGAGATGCTAACACAACCAGTTACTCCCAACTGTCTTTGCCACAGGAACAAACACAATTAGGGTACACAAAGTCAGCTCCAAACCACTTCAGAAAGCCATGGAAGTGAGAAAGAGCAGGCTGCTGCTCAGAAGGTCCCAACATATGAATAGCATCAGTGTAGCAATTCTACTGTGGCTTTCCAGCCATCCTACCATATGCCCACTGGCTCCAAGCATCACCCTCTCACTTTCTGACTCTACTGTGGCAGGCAGTAAGGAAGTGGTAACAATCCATGTGATTAGAATAGATCACCACTGGCAAGGCCCTAAACCTCTGTTTAAAGACAGAAAACAAGCATCCAAGAACCAAGAGGAGAGAGCATGGAAAGTAGGAAAGGGGAAGATGTATAAGCCATCCCAAGAAAAGTTGCCAACATCTGCCCTGTCCCCTTTGATAGGCAGCAGCACTGTCTAGACTTACCATCCCAGCTCAGCTCAGGCTCCTGCCAAGCACTACCAGCAGCCTGCCTCTAATGAGCAACAAAACCTGGAATGGAGTGAATAAGTCCAGAGGAAACTAGGATAGGACAAGTGGAGACCACACACTGAATACACATTAGTGTCCCCTCACCAACTGGGCATTTAGGCAGAAGTTACCTGCACATACAAGGCCCTTAGAAGGGATAGGGTGGGAGGGGTCTTAGCTCCAAGAGACTAGTATTTTGAGAAGCCCAAGGTTATAATAAGACACTCTCATTTGCCTGGATAAGAATAAGATGGGGCAGGGGGAAATGGTTTCACCAAGCCCATTTCTATTTTTATAACAAATGGCAATATCAGGCTAGACTATTTCTCAGTGGGGGCTAGGGTCCAAGGGGGAGAATAAACTGCTTAAGAACTAATGATGACCTCTAGGGGATCTAGGTTTGCTCATTTTTTAAGCCTCCTGCAATAAGGTCTGGAGACCAGGTGGGGGGAGCAAAAACTGGAGCCTCTTTGCTGTAAAGGTCTGGAAGGGCTCAAGTACCTCTCAGAGCAGCAGCTAAAAGGCAGCTTCATGACTGCTCTGCTGTTGGCCATGGTTGTATCACCTCAACTTTTTCCCAGTCTCCCATCTTCCCAGGAAAGGGCCTGATAGCACTCACTGCTGGGTTTCTTGTCCAACTGATGGGGAGGTTCAAACCACTAAGTTTTTCTGCTCTGATCACACAGGAGGTACTATCACAGCTATCTGGGGGGTCGGAATGCCTATATCTCAGTCAGCCCTCTGACTGACCACTTCATATGGAGTCCTTTCTGAAAGGCCTGCCCATCTCTACAATGTGCTCCACCCTGTGCTGGGTATTGTGGAGAACACGGCTACAAATGAAACGGACCCTGAAACTGTAGGTAATTTCAATCAGGTGGAAAACACACGCAGTTAGTTACCAAGTAACCATGGCAACTCAAACCCAGTGCCTCAGTGAGACATATTTTAAGTGTTATGGTACCTTCAAGAGATGCTCTTCACCTCAATTGGGCCTCTATGGGCTAGAAGCCATATGATGCCACTCCTTGAAAAGTATTCACCCTTATACAAGTAGATAGGAAAACAGCATCTGGATTCCCAGAGTCCACCCACTTTGGGGCCAGACCTGGGAAACTGGCCCCAGTCTGATGAATGCCCATATATATCCCTAGAGTTGGGCTGGGCCAGGCCAACAAATGATGTGGGGTGGGGAAGGAAAAAGCATTGTTTGCCTTGGTATTTGCTTGGGTTCCTCTGGCTTTGTGTCAGGTAGCAAGAGCCTGACATGAGCTGAAGAACTCATTAACATTGTGAAACAGCCTTTCCCCTTCTTTCCAAAAGCAGGCTTGCTCAGGATTTAGGGGGATGGTTTTGGCTAAGGAAGTCAGACAAAAATATTTCTTAACAAGAAAGTCACCTGAGGTTTTGCCCCTTCCCACTTGCTCGCAGATGGGCAGGTGACCACTGCTCCCACTACTCCTGTGGCCAAATACCTGCTCAGGCAGAAATAGTCTTCTCGCTCCTATGTAACAAGGAGACTTTCTCATTTCTCTGAGAACATATTCATGGAAAACATAAACCAACTGTCGTCAAAGTTGTATGAAATCAGGAAATGGAGCGACCGGGAGAAGGCTGCCATGTGGCCGGATGTTATGTATTTCTAATTAGTGCTATACATCTTTCAACAGCAAGTGTCCTTCTGCTGGGAAACACAACACACTGCCCTTGTTATTGTAACTGTCAGAGAAGTGCTTAAACAGATAATCTCCAGGAAAAGTGATAAACACGTCCCCTCTCCAACCAGTGTGTGTGCGCGACGATGCTGCCAAAGCAAAGCTGTGCTTGACGGCTCCAGGATGGCAAAGCATCCTCCTGCAGGAAATGGGAGTGAGGCACGAGGGGTGGAGAAGGAAGAGGAGGGGAGGAAAGGCCGGCCCACCTGTGTGGACCCTTTAAGCCCAGCAAAGGGACAGAAGTTCAGAACCATCACTTCTGATCTACTCCTGGATCAGGGACAGATTTGGAGGAAACCAGTATCATTAGGGATGAGATTTGGCTGGTCAAAAAAATAAATAGATCTGGCAGCAATGAAACAAGCAGAGTTCCCCTGGTGCACACAGCCAGCTTCCTGGCAAGAGGAGAAGAAGAGTAATGAAGGGAAGACACAGGATGATGACACACATAGGTCTGATACCCTGACAGCAACAGAAGGGATTCAGAGGGCACTGGGGACCATTAGCCATCCCAGCAGAGAATGCTTGGCTGCTTCACTAACAGCTGGAGAAGAATGCAGGCAAGACCTCTTATTCACGGATTCTCTCCCCACTGGCTCTTCCCAAAGAGAGGAAATAAATGGTCAGTCACCTCCAAACGAATACCACCTGGAGGCGATTTGTTGGCTCTTATGTCTCAGACATAAGGCTGCTTTTCTCATGAGTCAGTCACCAGTCAGACACAGGACTGGCACAGTTCCTGAGCAGCCCACCAAAACCTCCTTGTGTACAGGAAGTGGGCAGTGAGAGCATCTAAGTGCTGCTGCTTGAGCCACACAGTTAGTTCTCTGTGGCAGTTGCTGACTGAAGAGGAGGTGGGGGAGGCAGTCATTGTACAGGAACCAGACAAAATCTCAGAGCAAAATCAGAGATGTCCATGCCATCAGGGCATAATTCCATTCCTTAAGGAGAATAAATGAGTCAGAAGACTCAAGCACCAATACACCTAAAAATATTATTCATGCACAATGGCAGAACATAGGAAGGCTGACTGGGTAGAAGGCAAGCCATAGCATAGCCCCAACCAAGACAGAGGAAGTGGAGGGTTTCCTCCCTAAGAGCCCTTATTGGCATGCCTGTTACTCCTTCTGGATTTTCTAGGTTTATAAAACACAAACTTATTTTAGTGGGTAGATGTGGGGGCAAAAGAAATCCCAACCTCCTAACCAAGTGACCTCTCCCATTATTATAAAAAATATTTACTTGGGGGCCCAATTTTGCAGGATATAAAGGAAAACAGGATCCTGTCCATAAGAGGTTGATAATCTAATAAAGAAGACAGAAAGAATACACAGATACCCAAATAACTACAATTCAAGACAATGTATCACATGCATAAGGAAG